GTACAATAATATATAATAATAATATCCTAAAGACAAAATTAAAAAAAAATCTTGTATATGGCGTCCTTCAGCCGCTGCCGTCGCACTCTCGCTTCAATCGGTTTGCCATAACATATTAAGATTAAGAATATTATGCTAAAAGCAATCATCGCTGTGTAGAAAGATTTACATAATGACAATTTCATTTTAGTAGCATGTTATACATGAAGATAGAAAATCATCAACATTAGTGCCAGAAGAAGCGTTTGCGCCACGCAAATAATTTTAAAATAACTGCGCAAAGGAAAATATTAAAGAAAATTTGCAACTCTACGTCTTATCTTATCGGTCGTTTATGTCGATGCCGTAGGGAATAATGGTCACTTCATTCGTTTGACCTAGTTCCTCTGTTGTGAAACTGATCGATGTTTTAATTAAGACATCGCGATTCTAAAATTTTAACTAAGAAATTCGTTTTTGAAGCTTGACCAATAATATCGATGACGATATGCCGACACCGCGCAATTCGGATTGTCCGTCCGCAAACCGGAAACGGGGCCGGTCTACCGTTATAGCCATGAAATTAGAAAACTAGTTTAGTCACTACTGTCTTTGTAGTAGTGTTTGCTCTTCATACGGCTTAATTAATTCTTTTTATAGTAACAAGTGAATATGTCTCAACAAAGGTACAAGGAATGGGAGTTTTATCTATATTTAGTTTATTATCTCTATGATAGATAAGTATTTTTTCTTTTGAATTTTTCTTGTTCGGCTTTCCATTATATATTGAATTGCATAGTTATTAGATCTAGTACGTTGCCTATGCCTCTTCCACTATTACTTTTAGCAACTTTTCTCCAACGTGTCATGTAAATAATATTAGATAGTGCTCAAAGTACGTGTATGATAGAAACTGAAAAAAAACGAAGGTGTCACAACATCCAGACCGAGACAATATAGAAAATTTAATTTTCTATATCAGTCCGACTGAGAATCAAACCCAACAATATTGGGAACCGTCGAGTGACGAGCTCGTATCCAAGCTTTCCAAGTAGGCTTCTGAAGGCCCATCTGAACATACCCACCTGTTTTATTTATACGGCTTCATATGATAATATCAAAATAGGGGACTGTATAACTCATATTTTTTTTAAAATTAATCAATTGGGTAAGGATGCTTTATAAAATCCTTCGAATATTGAAAGAGATTAATTTTATTTTAGTTCTACTAGGAATTAGAGAGTTAATCAAAACACATTCAAAATTTTTATCGTAACTTAATCTATCTATCGTACTAACTAACAATCTCATATATCGTAATAATTATCGACTATGCCAACGTTTCGCAGTTATCGTCCGGTTTCATATATTTTTCCCATATACCACTAAACTATGACCTATGCTATGACAGTATGGATAGCTATAGATTTATAAAAAAAAAGTCAAATTTAAATTGGTTAAGTTTCCATTGTTTCTTTTAAAGTTTGATGAAATAAATTGATACGATGGTGATGATACTAATCAAATCACTATGTCATAAATAAGATCTCGGCATTAAAGGTGATTGAAATTATAAGATTACCAAAACATTCTTTTTTTTTTCACGAATAATTTAAGATGAAGATTGTGTTATTAAAATATATTCCCGGGATTGACAACATTACATTTCCAGTTTTATAGTATCCAGGCGGCTCTTTTTGTCATTAAACCATTTACTGGCATTTATGTGTGACATTGAGAAGTATATACTCCCTATATCGTCTAACGCCATCTGTAGCGATTGCATGAGTCGTAATAATTATGATCATTCCTCTTCTAGATATCCTTACTCTTATAATTACCAACATCATCAACAAATCCATCTTGTCATCTTTTTACCCACTGCATGGATGGATGTTAATAGGTATATTCCCTGTGCCTAAGTAATCTAAGTCTGATACTTTTCCGATTATCGGCCTATTTCCATAACCTTTCCAAAGAAAAGCTAGTATAACAACAGTTTAGTAAATTCTTTTCCTTGAACAACCTTCTGAATTCATTTCAAACTAGTTTTTGTCCCGGTCATGGTACGACTACTGCACTTGTCAAGATTGCGGATGATATACACACGAGCAGGAATGGAAAATCGGCAGCTCACCAAACTGACGCTATTAGATTTCAGTAATGCGTTCAGTACTGTTGATTTCGACATTTTATAAGAAATGCTGGTTTCTTTCAATGTATGTCCACAGGCGATTGGTTGGTTCCGTAGTTGCCTGTACTGGCGACGGCATATGTGCTCAGATTGGTGCGATACAACAGTCGGAGTTCCACAGGGTTGCGTTTTGACGCAGCTTCTGTTCTCTATTTTCAATAAATCAATAAATCTACATTTCTTTACTTTCTAGTACATGTATGAAAATGATTTCCAAATTTATAGTCATGCTACGATGGAAAAACTGCTTACTGCAATTTCCACTATTTCTGATTGGAGTCGTTGATATGGTCTGTTAGTCAACCCTCTAAAATATCAAACAGTCATCATTGGAAGGATAAAATATATATTGGAAGTATTGGGTGTATACAGATTGACTTTGAAAACGTGATAATGGCATCATAATCCTCGCAAAAACAAAATGTATGCATACACTTTCGCCATATAATGTGGTACTTATCTAGAAAAAATATGTGTTTAGATATATCGATAGTGGGTCACGATTGTGAATGCTTACAAAAAAAGAAGTCGCAGTATAAATGTGTTAAAATAGAGTTAGTTGAAACATTCAAATATTTAGGAATCACGGTAGATAGATTTTGATTGGAAATCGCAGGTGGATCAAGTTTGTGTTAGATTGAGATCCATATTGAGTAAATTTTATGAATTGAATTACGTCATAAATAAAAAAGTCATGGACTTAATATTTTATGCTTTAGTGGACTGTATTATTATAAGTTACGGTTTAAACCTTGGCCGTACATTCGCTACGTATTTGAAGGATATTAAAGATTTACAACTAACTTAAATATTTAGTTGACAAAAAAATTGATATGTAGATAAAAGTTACGATATGTACAATATTACCTGTAGAAGATGAAGAAGTAATATATATGATATCAATATAATATTATTATAGTGACCAATATAACTAAAAGTTGTAAATATATATACTTAATACAAAAAGGGCTAGGGAAAATAAGTTTGTTAAACCGTTTATAACTAATGCAGTTTGGCAAAATGTTATTTTCGCCAAGCTGCCGTTGTAATATATTTAAATAATAATAAATAAATCATTGGTATCTTAATAAACGGTAATCGTATACCATTAAGTCAGCCAGTTAAAAATCTTGGTGTCATCTTCGATTGCAATATGTCTTAGAGCCATCATCAGTGCCTATAGCTCGCTCAAGCGACTTGAAATCTTTTGCCAACTAATACTAAAATCACTCTTGCCCAGTCACTTCTTCTCTCACTACTTGACTTAGCTGATTCATGTTATTCAGACCTACGTATCGGGTTCTAAACAAACTTGAGCGTCTTCAGAATATCTGTATCCGTTTCGTCTGGTCGATGTAAAAATGATCATATTTATGAACCCGATTCAATAGTTACCCATCTCTAGTAAAAGAGACTGTAATATCCTATCATTCCTATATTCCATCCTGTTTTACCCACACACCGCATTATCGTAAGTAAGGAGCATAATAGTAAGGAGCGCTTAAGAAGAGAGCGATCTTTCACTCTTCGAATCCGACCCGAGATCTGCGGTCTTTCTATAATTTATCTTTAGTTAGTTCCTCTCACAATACTGATTTCATAGACAAGTCATTTTCACTTAAAGCAATCAAACTATGGAACTCTCTGCCTAGAGTCTAGAGTCACCTGGTAGAGATTGCTACCTTAGCAATAAAGCCGCCTTTTGTGTTACTGTATCTAGTTTAATGTACTTTATAAATGTGTTTCATAGTGCAATAAAGAATATTCATATCATAAAAACTGATTAAATTTTTTAAACTTGTGCCCTAATATAACAGCATTATAAAAAATGTACCGACGCATGGAGCGTTTAATAAATTTATTTTTATCTTTCATGTAGTGGTTTCAATTGGAATCAATATACGTAATCTGTCCGCCTTGTTTTTTGTACATTATCAATTTGATACACTATTATACAAATCACAGATATTAAATTTTTATGCTTATGCCACGTGCAAGATCATAAATTAAAACTCAAGCCAGTCATGGAAATGTAAACAAATCAACGCTGACTTGTGCATTGTTTTAGTTTAAGTTATTTTTGTATGTGGTTACCTAGTTAGTTTGGCCTCGTTCTCGTACATCGCCTACAATGTTATGGTTAACGTCATGAAACATGGAACAATTGCAAATTATTTTCAGAGGACAGCACAGTTTGTGCGTCCATGTGCCAATTATTGGCAATCGACCTTCGTCAGTCCTTACTCGGTAAGCAATACGTAACTGTGTAATCGGTGGTCCCCGTCAGGGTTATTGTGTTGTATGTCAGAATCACGACCCGTCTTACCTCTTAAATCAGATCTGCAAATGTTTGCAATGTCGTGGAATGTAATCTGATGTTGAAATGTAACGATCGATTAATGTTTTCAGCAATTATGTGGTGGGAAAAATTACAAATATTTATACGTTTTTGTTTAATAAGATTTATTGCGACCAGTGTCAGGTTTACTGGTTTACCAGACTATAGAATTTCTTCACTTTTTTAACAACTAAATTTGTAATTTCGAACTTTAGTTTGTATTTTTTTTCTGATACAGAGACGCACTGAGTACTCGTCCGAATACTTGGTTTAACGCATGTTTGAGGTTCAACGGTTATATCATGGTGCTTGTGTATTTTCAATTAGAAAAGCGAATATAAGGCATTTGTATCGTGTCATTCTGTCCAATGATTGTAGTTCCTAATTACTAAATTACTGCTACTTATAGAATAAGAGACAGGTATTTGGCCCATCTTTAATATAATATATCATGTAACATTACAATACTAACTACAGACTTACCCACAGACATTCCCGACATCCCTGAAGACATCAAGAAGCTACGCGCTCTACAGATCGCGGACTTTAGCAGCAACCCTATCCCACGTCTGCCAGCTGGATTCAGTCAGCTCAGAGCACTCACTGTTCTCGGCCTCAATGACATGTCTCTTACCAGTCTTCCCAGCGACTTTGGCAGGTGAGTCTTTTATGGTTAAAATAATTTACGGAGTCTTTGGTTAATGAGGGAAGGTAAGTTTTTAATTTATTGAATAGTCTCTACCTATTGAATTTATTCTAAAATATCACGAAGTTCTGACTCTTATGTAAAAAAAAATCATTTACTTTATGAATAATATATTCTACAGGTATCGAAATAAAAATAGTTACTTTATTGGGACACTGAAATGAACTTCAAAATATCGAAGAATAATACCAAAGACAGTCAAATGAGAAATTCACTTTATAATAGAGACGACTGGGTAAAATAAATGCAATTCTATTTAGTCCGTCAGTCAGATAATAGAAAAATATTAGATGCGTATTTTTTTACTTTAATTTAACAACAAATAGCTTAGATAACAGGCATTAAAGTTGAGGAGTGGGGGCTCGCTACGTCACAGTTTTGTAGAAAACGTAGCATAACGTGACGTCATGCGAAATTCAACACCATGTATCGCCGTAATTTTATGATTACGAAAATAATAAAAAAAATAGTGTTTAATATTTTTCAACTCTCTACTTGACGGATAAACAAATAAAAATTAGTCGTCATCCCTATTGGGTTGAAATCAAAGTATGTTGGAATTAATCGTAAATAAATCTGCATCCTGGTTGTGATTATTAAATCATGATCGTTTGCAACCTAAATTGGCATTAAGTGCTTTGCTGTTAACAGTCACTCATCGTTTTTTGATCACTCACTGCCTGCTAATAAAATTAAAGTATGCTCACTCCAAAATAATTGCGTTGCTGGTGAAACGGCTGATTCAGACTTATAAATTCAGAAGTATGAATAATCTACGTAGTTTTGCTAAGAAAATCATTAATATATATTTTTATTTTATTATTACTAAATAAATGTATAATAACTTATCAGCTTATTCACAAAAAAAAAAACAAAAGTTTATTCTTGTTGGGACCTTTTTTTTACGAAATATTCGCATGCCAATATCTTTTACTTTACACACACAACCATCAGTTTGATAGTTTTGTGTACTGATTGTCGATAAAATAAAGAGAATCATAAAAAACTTTGATTATAAAAAGTTACTATGTTCAAACTTTATGGTTTAGTTTTGCCAATCATGCTTCCACTAGCATAATCAACTAGCTTTCCGCCAGCGGCTTCCCCGCGTGGTTTTCCCGTTTTTTATAAAAAAATTCATTGCTGCTCTATTCCTATTAGTCAAAAATAACTTAGTAAGGCCCGATATATGCATTTTCAACCAAACAAACAAAGTATTTTTCCTAGTGGCGAACCTGTGAACTATAAACACAGTTTTATTACGTAAACTGTACTTAAAATGTAATCAGCATGTGAAAGTTGAAAGTTCATTTATTCATTTCTATTAACACTCAAATAAAACTGAAAGAATTTATTTTATAAAAAAACATTATATATTTTATATGCTGTTGGATGTCAATATTAAATAAATAAACATTCACTAAGAACATTTAAGAATCAGTAGGTATAGTATTTCAGAGTCCATTAAGCAAACAAAGTAACAATCAAATCTGTTAACTTATTAATTTACTAACTGGTAACGTAGTCAGCTTCATAGTTTCCTTTTTTGAAATACCTAGAGAAAAAACGTCTATCCGAAAACTGAAACCTATAATAAATATAAATTTTTGTAAGATCCTTGTGTTTGGCTTCGCAAAAGAGATACTTTCATATTCCCTTTGATAATAAATTATTTCTTAAAAAATTTCTCAGTAAATTGCTTTTAGGGTTTCTTTAGGAAATATCAAAATTTTGTACGTTCGAAAAAGCCTGAATGTAAAAGCTGTTTTCTCGTCGTCTTACTTCATTAAAGTTGAATGAGAATTTTTCTTTAATAACACTTTATTTACCTACCGACTTATATTTCGCAATTTAAGTGATTTGTATTATTTATGTAGTTATGTACATCGAGGAGCTAGATCACGGAGTTTTCTACGATAATAGTTAAGCAACTGCCGCAAGGGATAAAGGATGTGCGACCAAAAATTTAGTATCTCAAAGTCCGCCATACTTTGGAAGGCACGTTAAGCCGTTGGTTTCGAGTGCATCTGCAGTTGTTAACACCCACCAATACGCTATGGGACCGCGTGGTTAATCAGAGCCCGTTTAACCCTATTCGATTTGATTCCTCTCATGAGGAAGGCTTGAGAGTCAGCAGAGTTAAGATAATAATACGTTATTAGTTATTTTTTCATAGTTTACGAATGCACTAATGGTATATTCTACTACGTAATATTTTGGTTTTATTTAAATCAAACTTTTTCACTATAACATTATGGCTTTAAAAAAAACTCAATTAACGTTATGAAACATTCCAGAACGAAACGAAAACAACCAATGTTTTCTGATATTAAATTCAATTGACAATCTGTTGATCAATTTGCTCTCATAACTGGACTCGTTTGGCGGTGATTACGTAATGGGCTGCTTTTGTTCAGCAAGCATACAATAACGTAGGCACATTTCACAACAACTACGGGGATAGTTAAAAATTGCGCGTCATGCTTTACGTACAGACGTACGCTATAGAGAGGGTTTATCCATTGACCAAAGCTTCAAAGCCGAAAGCGAAAGTTTCACTGGAAAGTTACAGTCCACTCAGAGCATGCCTTTTATAGACGAACTATATACGGACAATATTGTTGTTCAACTTCGAATGAACTCGTATCGCGTGTGCGTTCCTATTATTCAACAAAAGGGAATAATTCTATGAGCGCGATGCTATTTCAGTAAGATTTCGTTGCTCATGTACTTCAATTAGTGATATAAGCCAGTCTTAATGAGGAAATCTATAAGAGAAACTGGTTTCTTAAACGGTTCTGTAATAAAATTAGTGAAACGTTTTACCATTAATGGAACGGTAGTTTTGTAGTTTGCTCCTGGTTTAATAAGACGATTGGTAATTAAATCAATATTTGTTTGTTTCTTTACATAATATGAAGAAAAATCTGAAAGCAACCAAGAGATGTCAATTACCTTATTGTCATATATCAATTTTCATATACATATATCTTTACTCGAATTATCTGTGGCATTACTAACGGTGTTTCATCAACTGTTTCATTCGCACACGTCGTTACTGTTTATTACTCTGAGTGTATGACTAATGCATTATTTTCCTTGTGTTTGTCTTATTTCTTAACCATACCGAATGTATGTTCTAAAGTAATGATGAAAAGGTGTATACTATAAAATCTTATAATGAGTTTCATAGATACTACGAGTGTAATATCGTAAGGTTCTTCATTGAACAAAACATGAATTTGTTAAATATTGAAAGTTCTCAGTTTCTATAAAGTGTGAAGTTGTCCACTCTGTCACTTACCTAATAACGTGGAGGAATCCTTTATAGGGTTTTAAACTGGAACTGGAGTAACAGAGTTTTTTATTTCACGAGAATGATAAACAGCTGTATTTGATTTTTTCCAGATTCTTTCGTTTTTATGTATTTAAAGCGACTTTAGACTAGTATTTAGTATATAATTACTTTATTTCGAGTCAGATATTAATATCTCCAACGTTATAATATTGATACCTCCGACGGTGTTTAATAAAAAGAACTAATAGTAACTTGCAGTATACTATTGACAGCTTACGATTTTAGGATTTTAAGAGCTTAGGTTTATAAGAGCTATTAGGTTCAGATACTGGTAATTTACGATGCTTTTTACGCTCAATAAACGTCTACTTGGAAGTACGTCAGGTTACTATTTACGTAACCCATTAGAATTTCCAACGTTATTAGAAAAGAAACCAGACACAACAACAACAACATTTTCAAGAATATTGGAAAACAGACACAAAAAAAATTTCAAGAATATTAAAAAAAAATACGGAATAACGAAGACGTTCCTTATTTATAATTACGGAATATTGTCCACAGCTTAGCTAACTCTTTGTATCCAACCCTGTGTATAACTTTTGTTTCGATGTTTATATTTTAAATCTATACCTATATCATACATACGAATAAAATTATCGTCAAAAATTAAAATGCGTTAACAGTATAGATAACTAATACGATAATATCTAGGTATTTAACCCCTTTTTACAAAGATTGCGCGAACAGAAGAGTATTAAACTTGACACAATTAAAGTTTGTATGGAGAAGAAATGTAGAATGTAATTTTTTTTTTGATGTATTTCCAATTTTCATGAATACGTAATTCTTTTTTGACTACGAAATGGCTCTTTTATCTGTTCAGAGAGAATATAAGTATTAACAAATTGTAAGTATGATTCACTAAATATAATTTTGTTTTTGAATTGCCAAATCCTAAAATATGGGATTTGGCCTAATTTTACGATTTATCTTATGATTATATTTAACTGGCAGCCAAAAGTTAAAACGTATTAAAGAAGAATTAATATTGTTTTGCTTATATTCTTTTTTAACCGACTTCATAAAAAAAGAGGTTATCCTCGAGGTGTATGTATGTTATATCGTTGGAATGGCGTAATATTCAAATATGTTGGTCTATATGGGCTTCTAAACAAGGGTGGAAAATTTTATAGATGTATGTGTGTCTCTATATGTTTGTCCACTGATATCTCGCAAACTAGAAGTCGAATTGCAAAGATTATTTTTTTGTTTAATTGCTTAGCTTTCAACTTAGGGTACACTACAAGTTTAGTAGTAGTAGAAGATGTATACTATTGAAATTTTATAATAATAAAAACATTTCATGCCATTAATCTATTTAAATATTTAATTTTCTAAATAATATTCACGCACATTGGTACTCACTCAACTTTAGCATACTTAAAAAAAAAAATCTAATCACAGGCTTACCCACGCACACACCACTCACCTAACCACACACACCCACATACACACACACACACAAACACACGCACGCACGCACATACACACACACACACACATTTCTAAAGTTCTTAAGACTTTACCTTGCCTATGTTAAGTTTTTCAGCGTCATCACATTCCCTTATAAACAACCTACCGAGGAATCGCTGGCCCTGATAATACAGATTCTCTAGTTTCGGGGTCAGAGATCTAAGACTTAAAGCAATATGTAATATGTAACACAATATGTAATAATACATATGTAATATGTAATACAATATGTAATAATAAATAATTTTTGATTTTTGAAATTTAAGCTTCTTATGAACGGAGTAAAAAATTAACCAACTTATAAAAGGAGTTGAAATTGATGACCTTCTTTTTAACCGACTTCGTTAAAATCTTACACAAATCACTTTGAATATGTCATTTGAAAGACATTCGCGAACGTCACGCTACAACTATTGTTGTCTACAACATGTACAACATGTCAAAGCAATTGCCATCGCGACATTTTTTTTAAAGATATTGAATTAACTATAACATTCATTTGATATAAATCGGAATTGGCTGAGCAAATTGATGGTTACAAATACCTTTGAAAACTATTGGGTAATGTCAAATGAAAGCGTTGAACACTAACTGCAATCTTTCGATATTTTATGTATGTATTGATTATACACTCGTTACGATGGAAAAATACTTAGAATACTAACCATATTGCTTTTGTACGTATATTTATAACTATTTCATAAAATGGTTATTTTTAATTAACTACTACAAAATTTGCAAATTTCACTAAGGTGACTATTTCACGATGTAAATAAATTTGTCCTTCTATATTGATTAAATAAATTTGTTAAATATTAATAAAATAAACAATTAGAATTTTCAGTACAAATCGGCAATTTCATACTTAAACCCCTGTTATAATAAACTATTCCTTATTAGCGTTCTAATTCACTTCAGAGTTGATCCCTGCCTATATTGAGAAATCTTATAATTATTGTAGATTCATTTAAATAAAAAAAAACGACATCAATCTTCTAGTTTCATATAAATATGGCTTAGTCACGCATATAGCTTGAGCGTGATATTAAGTTTAAAATGCAATTTAAGGTGTGTCTAACGCCTGATAATAGTTCTTACATTCCTTCAGAAATAGAACGGATTTTGTTTATGTTAAAACGTTTTGTTATATTTACGTCTACTAATAAACCTCCTTTAACCCACCCGCATCTCATCGTTGGCACTTGCGGTTTATTGTAGAGTTGCCAACCGTACTGTTTTCCTAGGACATGACTGGGGTGTCCTGGATAATTTTTAAGCAGCGTTCTGGCTTTTCTAGGCGTCCTGACTAGGTTATGTACAAATACTTAAGAATATAAGTTAAGAACATAGTGTTTCTAAGTTTGTTAAAGGTATTACAGTATTATCACGTATTATTGCGTCCTATTTATTAAGTGATTTGTCTTAGCCTTCCAAGTTTGTGAGTAAGGTTTGGTAACCATAGTTTTTGTAATTTCTATACTACTATTTTTAAATCAAACCAGATATACATAATGAATAGACTAAACATGGTTTTATGACGTCGTTGTGATCGACCTAAGTATACTCAAGCAGAATGATTCACCTTTTTTATGTACAGAACCAGCGTTAAGTACTTTGACATCTGCTGAGGAATGCGGCCTCAAGGTTCTTAACGAGAGGCACGTTCATTGTAGGTTATCAGTAAACAATATATTTCTCTTACGCAAGCAGGTAGGTACCGAACGGAATACATGTCCAATATTTTTACACGTTGCTGAATATCATGTGTAATGTGCTTTAAGGTGTCACGTATTTTGTTTTTAATATAGTCCAGTAGGTAATCATTATATTTTTAAAACAGCACTGTAAGATCAGTATATAACTTTCATAATTAGACAGTTCCCAAATTATCCTTTTATACTTATTACAAAAAAATAAAATACAGTTACCTGGTCTGTTTGTTTAAATAACGACGATAAAAACTTCTGCTGTTTTCACAAGATTCACTGTAAGATATTCACTGTTATCTATAAATATTCACTGTAAGATCAGATACAATATAACTTTCATAATTAGACAGTTCCCAAATTATTCCTTTATACTTATTACAAAAAAAAAGTTACCCGATCTGTTTGTTTAAATAACGATGATAATAACTTCTGCTGTTTTCACTAACGACGAATTAATTTAAGAAAAAATTGTTTTGTTTCATAAATGGTTTATGTAAATTAGTGTATACCATATACTAATTCATACAGTATGATATAATTTTAAACATGTTGACTAAAATCATGCCGTTTGTGACTGTAACCTGTAACATGTCAGACGCACGCACCTGTTCTAAGGCGGGGCGTTGGTTTTAATTAGAAATGTATACTTTGAATAAAACGAGTAACCAGTGAATATTTCATATATACCCGTGTATTGGAGTTGAAACAAAGGAATCCCTCGAATTCAGATCAAACAAACCGCTAATTAGGAGGTACACCGCTTAGCTTAATTAACACATATTGAATCATGTTTATTTAAAAGAATTTGTATTCTGATATTTCTAAATAGTCAAACATATTGTGTTTTATATTATTTTATGCTCAAGCTCATATTAGGTTATAAGCTTTTAATAGTAGACATTATGTAAATAAATTGAAATATATTCTACTTGGTTACATTTTTATGGAAATAAATAAAAGCTTACATACATACATCACATTATAGTGATACCAAAACTAGATTTTCTGCATATAATTTTGTTGGTACATTCCTAACAGGATAATATTGTGTCGCTTGTTGTTTAGTGACGTGCAACTTGTTTTTAACTTATTAAAAACAGGTATTTCGGTCGCGCACTCAACCCCGACCCGCTGCACAAAAATAACTTTGTTGTTGTTAAGTTAGCCTATTAAAATACATAATAAATCATCAGTAATGCTAATAAATGACCTATAACAATAATTTAATTGTAAGTCAACAAACAGCTTTTAGTGTACTTTTGCATAACTTATATTTTTTACATTTGACTAAAATCTATTAACAAATTATTTGCGTTGCCATGTTTTAGTCCATGGTGTCGGTTATAAATGGTCTGTATTTTATTTTTCCATATAATATTCATTTCGATTCAATCGAATTGCAACAATCGCTGAAATATGTATACATCTAAAAGTTCAACCCCTATTTCACCCCTTCGGGTTTGAATTTTATTTTATAAGTGTAGGTAGGCAATATTCATCTTATAATCTACATCTTAATTAAATAATAACATTATTTTGTCTGAACGTTGCAAACGTCTATGCTAAAAAGAAAGATTAGGTACATCCGACTCTTGAAATAAATAGTGATAATTGTAATTTGATACGATAACGATCCATCGATTTCATGGTCTATTTATTTCGATTTGCATGAAGTCAAGCTTAAAGTGAACGTCCTCTTTATTTTATACTGTAAAATATTTAACTGTCTATCATTGGTCTAGGAATTCTATGTAAACTGATGTAATATTATTACGTAGATGGTTACTATTCATATTTTGATAGACTGTTCCTATTTACATGGTACTTGCTGTTACCTTCAGTTTCGCCCACGTTGATAAACGGAAATAGCTTATAGATTTTTTGAAGAAATCGAAACATTTCATATTAAAGTCTTAATTGACACTAGCTAAGAGGAATTTAAATTTTAGACGTTGCAATCAAAAACAATTTTTCATTTTTTTATATCAATATTTTATTTAAGAATATCGATTTTCATAACAATAGTACTGTGTATTAAAATACTTTTAAACTTATTGGTATGATAGTTGAGAGCTAATAAAAGAAATAAAGTGACTTTGCCTTTTATCTTCTATTATCTGGCAATGACATTTATCATAATTCACCTTGCACAAATGCATTGAGTTGTAGTGGGATGTTACCTTCGCCATTATAATTCTATTGTGTTTCCGGCTCGTTGAGTTGTGTCATCAAATTGCTATGTGTTTAACTTATAGTTTATTTTTCCTTTTTTTCAGTTTGGTGTCATTGCAGTCATTGGAGTTAAGAGAAAATCTGCTTAAATCATTGCCCGAATCGTTAAAAAACCTCACAAAATTGGAGAGACTCGATTTGGGCGATAACGAAATCGAAGAATTGGTAAGATAAATTCTTGTCGTCGAGTTTGTTTTTAAAAAAAATTGTTCTAAATTATTTAATTCTGTTTATAAATTTACAGCCAGGTTTCATCGGTGAACTGCCTGCGTTAGAAGAACTATGGTTGGATCACAATAAATTGCAGTATCTACCTCCGGAAATAGGCAACCTGAAAGCGTTAACATGTCTAGATGTCAGCGAGAACAAACTAGAAAATCTTCCAGAAGAAATAGGGGGGCTATGTTCATTAACCGATCTACACCTGTCACAAAATATGTTGGAAACGATACCCGACGGTACCGGAGATTTATCCAAATTAGCTATATTAAAGTTGGACCAAAATAGATTAAATACGTTAAATTATAATGTAGGAAGGTCAGTAGCCCTCGTTCAGTTTACAATTGGTTAATATCACGCTATTTACGGTTCGTAATATATTACTGTTTTTTTTCCAGGTGTACAAATCTCCAAGAGCTTATATTAACGGAGAATTTTTTAATGGAGCTGCCTAGGTCGATAGGGAATCTCAATGAGCTGACAGTACTGAACGTAGATAGAAACTCTTTGGGTGAAATACCTGTAGAAATTGGAAATATGACATTACTGGGGGTGCTAAGTTTAAGAGACAACAAACTAACAAGACTGCCTAACGAATTGGGAAATTGTAAATCGCTGCATGTACTCGATGTTAGTGGAAACAGGTGAGGTCTAAAATAAAACTGTTGTGTTCTAATTACAACTCGTAGGATTTAACATGAAATAAAAAAAGACAATAGTTCTTATTATTTTGTTATAACTATATCTGCCAACATTATCGGTGCATTAGAGGCAGTGTCACATCCTACCTCCGTTGTATCATAGTATCGAAAAATGCGTGTGTTTGGAGTCTTATTAGTATCCCGAATATAGACAAATTTTGGTTTCGAAAATATAGAATAGGGTTTCTAGTGTCATGTTAATTCGAACGAGGTGTACCTTAATTAAAAATTGAGTCGCTATTCGTAGGTATTACGAAAATTGAGTAAATAATTTTATGTTTTAAGTTTTCATCCGCTTCCAGACGTTGCTTAAATATTTGGTTAGTGGAATTCAAAGCCCAAATCCCTCTTATTTAAACATCAAGCGTTACAAAGTTAGCTAGAAAACTCAAACAGACTGTTAAAATAATTATTTTAGCAAGAAAGTGAGAAAGTAAGAGGTTGAATAGTTAATGTTTTTGACGGATGGTTAATAACATAATGTCTTCAGAAATTTAATTTTATGCAATTTTTAAAAGCGCTTCATAAGCTATTTTAATTGACTTTGAATCTTATAAACAAGTTAGTTGTGATTTCATTTTAGGTTGCAAAATTTAATCCAATATTATCAACTTATGAAATTTCCGCTAAAAGTATCAAGGAAAAGTTTGCAAAATATCTTTCTAGATAATATTATTAAAAAAGTATCTTTATGAAATTATAATTATATAAAAACTTTATTGTTTGACGTTCCCCAAAATTGTTAACTTTGAGAATTATTTCCAAGCACTTAGCTTTGATTGAATTCAGAGAAAATAAATTCTGCGTTGTGCCTCTCTCGCTTTTCAAAAGTTTATCTCATCAACATTGTTTACCCGGATAAGTCACAGAAATTATAATCTTGATATAAGTGCAGTTTTCAAAGTTAAGTCACATTTATTTATTTTTACATGAATATATGGATATTTGTTTTTTTTTATAAAATCATTATTCATCTATTAAGCTTGGATATAAAAATCAAAAATTTTAAATGTTGCTCAGTGACATCATAATGACTTGAAATTACGGTAAAAATACATAAAGCTCAAAATTTAAGAATTTATTTATTTATTGGCCATATACAATGATATCATGCAATTAAATTAATAAATTTGCTTTGTTTTCAGGTTACAATACTTACCGTATACATTAGTCAACTTGGAGCTTAAAGCTGTTTGGTTATCACAAAACCAAGCGCAGCCTCTTCTTACCTTCCAAACGGACAGAGATGAAACGACGGGGGAGAATGTGCTCACTTGTTTCCTACTACCTCAGCTGAGTTATTCACAACAGCCAGGTATGCCGATGCCCTGCACAATAGCTTTACTGCTTTTTATTTGTATTTTTTATATATCCATTTGAAATCCTTAAAAAGCTGGTCAGTTTTTTGCCTGTTTTGTTAGCTTAGTTGGTATTTCTTCAAGCAACAATTACAACGAGTGTCTTAACTGAAATATAAGAATTAATTAATAAGAATTCTTAGCAATTTCTTGACTTTAAATAACTGTTATAGTGGTTAATATTGAGAAAGAATAAGCGTTTCAAAATTTTTACAATACCTACTGATCTCTGCGAAGCACGTTCAATATATCAAATTGCTTATTTCCGTGTAAATCGTAAAAGTCTGGACAATCTGACGCTATTTGAAGAATTTTTACTACCCTGTTGGTTCTAGAATGATTTATAAGTTTAATATTGACTCTGTATGCCTTTTTTATGAACCGGCTATTAAATAACAAAGTTTTATAATGCTAAACTTAACATTATGCGTCACGTTGAAACTATGGGGCTCTACAATGTTGCAGAGGTTTTGTGGTTTGATTTTCTCACGCTGTACAGTGATGTTTCCATAAGATAAACAAGGATAAAGGATAAAGTTTGTTATGTAATCACTCCCAGATGCCTTGAGATCCAAAATACACCATATGCTTGTAGTTTGACTCTCTCAGTTGTGATTTCTGATCAAAGTTGCGAATTTCCTTTATTGATATATGGCTTAAATTGAAGTATCAATTAAATAAAAAATAACAATACCTAAGTCGAATACATTCAATTTATGAATTAATGCATTCATGTATTAATAATAAAAGTTCTTGAAATCTGTTCAAGGTGAAGATATGCAAAAAATATAAGTGCACATTTTAATCAATTGTTAAATATTATTTTCGCCATTTCATGAATATACTTTGATAATAAATCAGTTTACTGTTGAATATTACACGCACAAAGCATCTTGTACACATTCTTTTTTTTATTTATGCTTAACATTTACTAGATACTATAATTAATATTTTGCTTTGGCGACTGTTACAAAACATAAAACACAGCATTCTAAAACTACAGTTAATGTTAATGGTCAAAGTCTAGAAACGCCACCTAATCATTATAGTGAGAGAAGACTGAAAAAATGGACAAATACGGATTGGACTTAAGCACGAATCCTCATACAATCAATAGCTATTACAATTATGTTATTGTTTGTTGATTTTAATAACTCGTTATCTCTGAAAATATGGTTTAAAATATATATGGCCTGGACAACCAACAGTAGTTGCAGTATGGGCAGTTATTTAGAAATTTAATATATTTAATCATATTATCGTATTATAGTTTTTATTTTTATTTATACGAAGCCTTATTGTGAAGCGAAGTCTCCCACAATTATTATATTATGTATTGCATATTAACGTTCTATTAGGAAAATAGTAAATTAACTTATAACATATATATTATTTATGAAAACATTTTATTGGTGATGAAGACAAATAAAAACATAAAAAAAGAAAACACTTGCAAAACAGGGTAATTGACAGTAATAATTATTAAATATGAAATTATAGATCTTAATTAAATATTTTTTACTCATTAATAATATATATACAAAATACAAAAGAAAGTTATCAATACTCGTAATAAAAAACTTTGTTGAATGATGCCTTTTTATTATTATTTGAGAACAATAAAGTTTAGAATTAAAGAATGACTACAGTCGCTATGTAGATTGTTCTTTTGCACTAAGATTAAATGATACTGGCGGTGGTTTTGTGATAACGTTGGTTGGCATTAAACAGGACCAGTGGACTTCGACTAAAAAATCTATCAAAAATATATTTATAATGCTTAGAACACTTATCTACTTGTTTCGTTAAGTCGTTGAAGTATTTCTTTCTATTATTTTTAATATTGTGATGTGAAATCATGGTATTATTTTCCTTGCTTTTTGTGCTTTCATTTTATTCTGCTGTCGTTGTGGATCATTCGCAAAGTATATTATAGAACCAAGTAAAAAGAACTCGTGATCTTGTATCTGAACATAAGGCGATATATAGGCGGGAAAGTATATGCATGATTAATATCGATTCATTTAGCGCTGTCAATTTAGCATAACAAATTTATGACACTTCAACAAGTGTCACAAATTAGCACGATATAATAACACATCACAAACTTATCGCCTCCGTTATTGTTTAGAGCTCTTTTAATCAATGGCATATGGAAAAGGATTTATTAAAATTATGATTACTCATCATATGTAACCTTTTACTTTGTGAATGGTCGCCGTGCTTTTTGTTTTGTTTTTGCCGTGTAAATACTAAACGCCACTTTTGACACTTATTACACACAAATAGTGCTGGGACACACATCAGAGGTCGGCAGTGGCAACTGGTTGAGGGATCACAGATATCTTTCACAGTCGCAAGAGCTAGATAGAGTAAGAGGTAAGGTTTACGGATATGTATATTTTCGATTAAAAAGTGAAGGTATATTTATGTTAATAAACTTGGATCTAAGAAGTATATAAATATTTAATTGATTCGAATGTTCTACCAAATTGAAATCTTGGAGCATCTAAGTTGGATATTAATCGGAATATATCACATTTAATATTGGAAAATAATCCTTTACTTTTTATTGTACATATTTCTAATAGTTAAAAATAAAAACAATTCAAAATGTTTCTTTTTTAACAGCTAATAGAGATATTTAAATTCTTTACTATAAACAGTATAATTAAATATAATATGAAATTGTTTTTATTTCAAACTAATGTTATTAGTTATATAGATTCTACTTACAAGTACACTCTGGCTGATCAGCGTATTTTTATTTTGCATACCTCATGCATTTTAGTATCAAATTTGAAACACGTAGCTATAAGATATACCTATCATTGCCTAATTCATGGATATTCATGGTGATTGTTGTGTTTAGATCTATGTTAAGTGTGATTTTGTCTTGTATTGTCCAGAATAGCTTGTTTGTGATTGTGAAAATATTTTATTAATGTTCATAATTGAATGTTAATTTTAAAATCAATTTCAGGAATTGAATACTTCGGTAAAATATGTTTTCAATTTTTATTTCGACTATCGGTGATCAAAACCATATTTTTGTAATAATATACAGGATTTTATAATATAATAAAAAGAACAGAGCAAATATATTGTTTGTACACGATTTTTTTGCACCGGTTATACATTATAACCTCTTTTATTATCTCTTTATAAATATACACTCGCACCGTTTAAAATTTAATCGAGCTAGAATGTAATATATTTTGAAATGTTCTTATATTATACAAAAATATGTAATTAACTTTTATCTTCATTACGTAATGATACTTTATTTTATGTCTACCTTTATCAGCGGAAAGGTAAATTGATAATGTTGCTAATTATGGCCGTTTTTTTGATAGAATCTAGCGCAACACGCGATCGCGATTCCGATAACGAGGACTGGGAAGAGAAGGAAGCTTCAAGAACTCACTCTGTCAAGTTCACTGAAGACATGCCGGAAACCAGAGAGGTGAGCCTATGGTGTTGTAGCTTATATCCATCTAGATCACATTACACACGCGGTAGTTTTAAAAATCGAACTAGCAAGCTGTTTAGGCATAACACTCATTTGTACTTCCGTAATGTTAGCAACACTATTAGACACGGATGCGGCAACACTGGGGCTTGGTTCAGAAATGTACGCAATAGGTTTTCGAGGCACAACACATATTTAGCTCTGAGTACAATACTCGTAGCATTGGAATAGTCACATCTAATTCATAAATGTATATGCTTATCTATTTATTTATATTCATTTAGAAAAATATGTTTGTTGAATAAATGTAATATGGAAAGGAAGGTTGTGATATTATATTTTTTAGATTTTAAGTTTGCTTATATCAAAAATATACTTCTGGAATAAATTATATGCTTTTATGTTCATGTTTTATTTTGTATTAAAAAAGAAAAGGTAGATTAGTTATACCCACTAAAAGCTAAATTCTTAAAGAAAAATTTTCCCGGAATTTCAACAAAGTTTACATTTCGAATTATTTATTATAATCTATATAAATTTTTATTCACATACTTTCTGGCCGATATTGACTTACATACATATTTTGCTTCATTGTAACTGTTTTGTGCTGATCTGCACTCTTTCTGGACACCTGCATTATTATAGTTTTAAAGTCCAGTATTTTTAACACCTCACGCATTTCAAAAATATGATTATACTTAAAATACTTTTAATTATATACATGATTATACTCTTAATTAAAAAAGACAACACCTTAGTCTTATGTGAACACGGAACCAAAAAAAGGGTCCGAAACGTCTAAAACTAAGTACAAACGCGTTGAAACTGTTTAAAAGTTGTTTCGTTTAAGGATTTGTGCGCGTGAAAATATGAGAAATCAATATGACTTTACTTTTAGTAGGCACTATTTTTTCCTTACTATCTGTTTGTTTTCATAACAAGGAATTATTTATTAAAATAAAATTTGTCTTGACGTTTTAGAGAATTTACATTGATAAAATTTTGTTATTTTTTTCATACATTATTCATAATTAAACTCTAAGAATAACTTTCATTAGTTCACCAATAAAGTAGCAATAGTTTTATATTAGGTTTAGGTTACATTTACAGGGAAGGGTACATTTTATATTTTTATATGGACAAGTACTTAGTAGTTAACTTAAATTCTAATAACGGTTCTTATACCTAGATTGTTTAATACATAGGAAATTGTCAATTTGCAAGAAGGGATTTTGGAGGAAAGATGTCTTGTGTATATATTTTTATTATACTTAACTATACAGATGCTATGGTTGTAATACTTTATGTCTATATATACATAAAATGTACTGAAAAGAAAATCTTGTTTGTTGTTGGCTACTAAAGAGATGTGGGTCTTGGAAAGTGAATGTTTAATTTCAAGGTGACATCGATTCAGGAGGAAAATGAGGACGAGACCTCTTCTGAGCCCTTCATCGTGGCACAATCGATGTTAGGGCTCCGGCGGCCCATTAACGTTGTCCGCAAACTGGTCACCACACAGCGCAGGACCTCTCTGCAAAGAATGTCCAACTCTATAAATAACCTCGCGGAGGTACACGGCAACTACCTTTGGAAAGCAATCACAAATATAATAAACGTTTTTAGAGCGTATTACCGGAAAAGACGATATTTTCTTTAAAAGTAATTTAAAAAACTATTAAAATTAGTATGCTGCATCGTTTTTAGAAAATTATTATACTAGGAAGTGCACAATTAATATATAAAAGCCAGATTAAAACTACGTGAGAAAGTCGTTAAATCATTACCTTGGCGTTTAAAGACATTTCCTGCTATGTCAGGATGTAATAAGAAATTTCCCGTACTTCTTGATAGTACAATAATTGTTGATTAGATAGAACCGGTGGAAAGCGCCTGCAATGTGAAAACTTATTATGAATATATACATATTAATTTATCTGAAGTGACGTTAACATGTTGATAAAATCTAAAGACATGAAACCTTAACTATCTTAGAAATAAAATCCAAATAATAATATTTTTGTAATTGTCTCTTTACGTGTAAAGGCGGAATAAGGAAGTATTTAAAAAAAATATATGTTCCCGAACTAGATGTCGCTAGGGTTGTCATGGAGAAATCAAGAAAGTACCGTCTTGATTTCTCCATGACAACCCTTCCGGTTTTCTTTCATGTATAAAATTAAATTAATTTTCAAAACTCAACAAACGAATCATATTCTCTTTGTACTTTTTCGTATTTGTATTGATATCTCAGTTTCGAACTTCGCAAAATTCAGTTTTTAATATCCTTTTCACTAACAAAAGGAACGGGATTGACTATTTTTGGTCCATTCGTTTCCAGCAAATGTCAACTTTTGCTAGAGTCGCCATCTAGTGAGTCTAAGTATTTAATACTTCTTCATTTGGACCATGAATTAAAAAAGAAGGACTTTTATAAGAGTGATTCAATACATCTAGTGTTACGTCAATTTTATATTCATATTTTCAACTGCACGTCCAGATTAAACATAATTAAAAATATTATTGTGAATGCATTTCAATCGTGTCCGTTAATAAACCTCAAATAGTTTTCTTTTGTCGATTTGTATTTAGAGTTGTTTGTTTTAGCTGAAAGTAGACTTGAAATATTAGACTAGAAATTTATTTTCATTGAAATCCAGCATTTTATTATACATTGAAATATAAACCTCCCGAACATCGGACACATCCAGCTTCATAAATCAAATACCTTACCTCATAGAAAAAAACCTAAACACCATAAAATTATTGCATAATTTTGAAGAACACGGTTACACCTTTTGTCACAGCACCATATTTGAATTGCACTTAACAGATTAGCTCTATCTAGACGTCGCTTTGTCGCGAGCGTGAGGCTGCATGTGATATCATATCCTGTGATTCATATATTTCTTCATTTAAGTGATAGGTGTAGGTTAATTAGCAATTATCATATTTTCGGTGGCCTCGCGGTTGCGACGAATTCTATATTACTTTGTAAACATAGATACCACGTTCATGATGATGCACTTCTTTATAGATCTAAGCTTTTTGGATTTTTGTCGCTCTGCTTTTTTAATATTCTCAAGACATTTTATCCATTCTTGCCTCCAAAAACGTCTTTATAATAAAGAAACTTAGACAAAGCTATACTTTTATAATTTATTTCAAGTATTTTTTACAGTACCATACTTTTTTATTCTACTTAGTTATGTATTGGTGTCGTATATAAGACAGAAAAGACAAACAGATGATATACACGATATATTTCTTTAACGAAGTAAACGAAAGGTAACTAGAAAGTAATGTGTGTCAACAAGATCAATGGAATATTGAATGTGCCCATACTTGATTCACTTTTAATCTATATATCATCAGAAAGACATCATAATTAGAGACATATTTTTTTAAACTCGTAAACTAATTATTATATTTTCAATAGCGTGTTTGGATGCTTTATCCTATTAATATTATAAAGGCGAAAGTTTGTAAGTATGGATGTATGGATGTTTGTTACTCTTTCACGAAAAAACTACTGGACGGATTTGGATAAAACTTTACAGCAATATAGGTTATACATCAGAATAACACATAGGGTACTTTTTACTGGGAAAACTTCTCACTCCCACGGGATACCGACTTCCACGCGGACGAAGTCGCGGGCGTCCACTAGTTATTTTTATAATTTGATTATAATGCCAGCGCATGAGCTTTTCACGACTTTGTAATATTTCTTTGTGGACCTTTTTGCTTTTTGGTAGTGACTGTTTCTCACAGACCAATTAATACACCTCCGATGTTTCAGACTCCATTCGTACGTCAGAATACACCTCACCCGAAGGAGTTGAAGGCGAAAGCGCACAAGTTGCTCGGTCGTTCACCGGAGGGTTCAAATGTGCCACAAGAAAAACCGCCGACGACCAACGGACTTCCGTTGTCGCCAACGGAACCTTTACTACAGACAGTCGAAACAACAGAAGTACGTATTGAATTTTCCAGTAGAAATTTCATTTAAGCTAACGGGATTTGTAGCGTTTGTTTTTAAATAAAACGTTGATGTTTGACGTTTAAGTGCTTTTTGGAGTTTTTGAGCCTATCGAAAGTAGAAATGAGTAGTAAGTAAGTACACAGAAAAGGGGTGACCCGTTCGCGTTCCCGCGCTAAATTCACGTTACCCTTTTTCATTTTCCATTATGAATTTTCAAATTAAACGATTTCAAAAATAAGGATACTTAGGTAAAAAAATAATCCTTTTTAGTCAGTTACGATATAGATAATAAGCATTAAAGTTGAGGAGTGGGGGCACAACTATGTAGAAAATGTAAAGTGTGACGTCATGAGCATTTCAACTCAACATATCGCCGTTATTCATTGATTACACAAAAAATACGTGTTCAATTTTCTTCAAAAATGTATCTGACTATCGAAAAAGTTCATATCGAAAAACATTACTTATGTAGGTACCATTCTTGCAATAATTTGACAACACTGAAGTATCTTTTTTAACTTTATATTTCATGACCGGAATTTGGCTTTTGGTAGGATTTTTATCCAGTGTTTGCAGAATTTTGTCGCCTGGTAGAGATTGCTTGTTACTTTAGCAATAAGGCCGCCTTTTATGTTACTATATTCAATCATACATTCATACATACAATAAAAAATATTGTGCTATTCACCGTTGATTAGTTATCACACTCGTAAGCAGCGTTTATAAGTAAAAAATATGTAATGACTACTTAAGAAGTTAAGTAGTGTTAATTTATCAGATGCCAAGACGTTGATCAGTTGATTTTTATAAGTAATGTTGTAAAAGTTTAAAGTAGGTTTTGATAAGAGTGTCAAATGCCTTTCTTTTTATCAAAATTATTAATGAGTATATTTAAATATAACGTATAGATTATTTTTAAAAATGATTGTTTGATGACCATGGAAATGTGTTTAACCTCATTTGTAACGGATTTAGTCAAGTTCAACTTCATTCTAAACCTATAATAATATTCCTAGAATAGAACACTGTTTTAGTCTAACATCAACATGTATTTTACGATCAAACTCGGAAGCAAAAGAAAATAAACAATATAATTTATGGTTTAATGAATGTAGGCATGAAGCAATATGTTAAATCTTTAATTCTTTCTACTTTATACACCAGAGTCAACCGACCATTAAAGGACTTTATTAACATTCATGATGTGACGTCGTTATAACTTTTTTTTTTCTAGATTTAATTTTAGGAGTAATATAGATTATATTTTATACATTATGCTTGTTGAAATCGAATAAAATCTATGCTTTTCACGAATACCTTCAACTTATAATAACTTTATCAGAAACAGTTTATGTTATACCATATGACTTATATAATAATATATGAAGATAAATGCCTTATGTTTTTTTTAGCATTTTAAGTAGAAGAATTTTTTACGGGTACCTATAGTTCATATCCTAATATAAGCCATACCGCGTAACTAATCGAAGTTTATGCTTCAACCTTTATTTATTCCAGGCACACACAATCACATAAACACAATACGCGGTTACTTTAGGGTTAGTGCATATCCGATTGCGGAAAGTCAAAACTGAAAAATATGTGATATGACATTCAATTAAACGACGCATCTTCAGCCACATATACACCGACCCTTAATTGAACGTCAAGAGTAGGTTTTAAGACAGATGGTACAATTAAATTCTCAGATGAAATATCCACAAGATGGAGTACATTCAAGCAAAGCTCACTAACATAGTTTATCACGTTTTCACAAAAAGAAAATGTAATAAAGAGAGAGGTGTAGTGTACATACCTGGTAGGGTTTTCACTGTCTGACTGAGGCCAGAAAAAAATTGAAATAAAAATTACTTTTTAATGAATTATGACATTCTATTTAACTATATACTTATAGGTATCATTTCTATTTAGACAATCCAACAAACGCAAATACCTCACGAAGCAGTCAAGGAGGATGAAAGCGATACGCAAACGGCAGCAGATAGGGAATCTTCAGAAGGTGAAAATGAAGATAACGAAGACTCTGACGAGTTGGAGGTAAGATGATAATATATTATATGAGTACGAATATTTACTTATAATCGCGGACGCGGGAGGCTTACATTGAACCATGGAACTTTCAACACTAGAAATTAATAATTTTAATATGCACCAATTTAATATCCAAGAATCCACCTAACAATGGGGTCCGAAAACTGCAAAACTAATAAAATTAACAGTAGCAATGGATACTTTATAGAGCAAATTAAACATTTAACATTTACATTTGTAATATTTAGGCATCTTATCAAATATGTAGTTTTTGTTTCACTGTAGATTATGGGTAGTAGTTTTGTGTAGTAATGGTCAGACTAATAACTAACCTCAATTTGAATTTGATATTTCTATATTCTATTTGTATGAGAGAAATAGACGAAAAAAAGTCTAAACGTAACTTGGAAAGGTGATTTCATTTTACAACAATAGTAGTTATTATTAATAAAAAAACTCACATTACTTACGATTTTGACTATAACATATATTTAAAGTCATTATTTATATTTATAAAAAGTTAGATTGCCGTGAGACCCATTGTGGTCTTTAAATTAGAATGAGAAAACTAAGCAACTGGGTTATTAATTGAAGTAAATTGTTAAAAGAACTGAAAATTCACCTAGGAATCATGACCAAAATAATTGTGATGTTTGATATTATAGTTAGTAAAATGTATTATTTTTCTATAATTCATAATATATGGTAGGTGTATTGTAAACAGCTGTAAGTAAGATCACAAATAATGTTTTTATTTTCTACCACAAAACGAATCTCTTAGTGATTTATATTCAATACTAATTAACCATTGTTACTTATATGAACATAATTATAGTATGTATTAAATTACGCAACAAATATAATATTCACTTATATTTACATAAATATAAGTGAATATTATATTACATAAATATGTAATTACATATTACGTACATAAATATAACAATTATTGTAAACTACTTTTAAACACTTTATGGAATTTCTAGCTAATATGATATGAAAAGATATCGCTGTAGCTTGAATTTGTGCTAGGGTAAAAATATCGAAAGCAGATTCATACAGTAGGTCACGACTTAAACCGTGACTGATGTGCGTCGAACATTGTTATTTATTTTTACTAAACAATATTTTTTTAGTATACAATATTCTCAGCAAGTGGGCTTAGGCTTAAGTTAAGGTTGGTTGGACACATTTTTACGAGAGCCTTAAGACGCTTCACCCACTGTAAAGTTTGTTGCTATGATGTACCATAATACTATTTTACCATTGCGTTGAATTGTATGGAATCGCACGTAGTATTTGTTTACCCGTAATTTTTAAACGTAGGGTTCTGAACGCATATGATTTGTACGGCAAAACATAACCGCAACATTCATTAGCTAATAAATAAGAGCTCTCCTCATCTATTTTACGCTTTAATTTACTTAATGTTATTCATTGATACTATCGGTGTATCCATGCAACAATAGCAAACACGGTGCCTCTGCGGCTTGCGTCACAGTAAATTAATAGTTTTAGGGTTTTCATAAAGTAACACTACAACGACTAAAAGTAATCACGCGGATCTAGTATGAATTGGGCCGCTGCGGTTTCCTCTATACATTATCGTAATGGTATAGTATTAGTTTTAGTCAGTTGACTATGACGGCAATATGTTGCTTTATAAAAAGTAAGTTATATATAGGCAAATTTATTTACTTAAATACCCGTCACGAAAGTAAATTCTGCGTAGAAACATGAAATATAAAAAAAAATACTCATCTAAAATAAGGTAAGGTATTAAAATACTTATTCTAGAAACTTCTATTAAGGCTATTGTCTAATGACCTGTTATGTTTAACCTATAAACTAGACTCTAAAATTACCAGTATAATGCATTGGCGAGATGTACAAGTTTTTATTTATTAAAAAACTACTTATCAATACAAATTCTAAAAGACATCGTTACCTCTTTGAGGAAATATTAACGTACGTTAATACTAATCAGGCATTTCAGAGGGAATTCGTTGAGAAGCTTATATAATACAACTTTTAGGGTTCCGTACCCAAAGGGTAAAATGGGAATCCAATTAATAAGACTTCGTTGTCTGTATGTCTGTCTGTTACCAGGCTATATATCTTGAACCGTGAAAGTTAGTTGAATTCAATATTTTTTTAACAGACAGAAATGGTACAATTTTCACAGATGATGTATTTCTGTTGCCGCTTCAACAACACTAAAAGAGGGATTAAATAAATATTGAAATGGGCTCCCATACAACAAACGTGATCAAATTTTTGTGATCTTTTCCGGTACGGAACTCTTCGTGCGCGTGTCCGACTCGCACTTGACCGTTTTTTTAGAAATTTTTAAGACTTCAAAATACATTTAAAATTTGAACAATACCATTTTAGTACAATATTTTATAGCTTATAAGGGTTCTTCGACCGCACTGATTTTCTTTTTAATTTTGCCGTATTTGGGACCAACAACAATAACAAAATTAATGGTTTCATTGTGTTACCAGCAACTTTGTCCACAACGATTAAATTACACGTTCAATTTCGTGCCGGGTACAGCAGTAGTGATGTAGTTGTGGTGCGTGTGATTCCATCGTTTAACGCTGTTAGAACACCGACACATTCGCTTGCGAATCCGAAACATTTGCGAAACTATGCGAATAAACCTTTTGCGAAACAAAATATAGTGTGCGTATGTGTAACGTCGTTTTTCGCAATTGACTACTTAACCGTACGAACAACGACGCAGCTATTTCATCGAGCTAATAATAGAGACAAAGCACATGCGAAATATTGACAAGATTTCGCAAACGTTTCGCTTCGCATTAACATGCGATTGCGTCGGCGTCGTACTAACGGCGTAATGGTGATGGTAGCATGGTTCGCGTCGCGTCGCGTGGCGCAGCACGGTCGAGGAGCGCGGTGGCGGCGGCGGCGGCCGGTTGCACCGTCGCGATACACCTCACCATCTCAAGAACAAGCGCGTCAACCAGATCGACGCAGGCCGAGCGCGCGATCTCATTGCGCAGGTGCTGCATGCGCACGTGTTCACTTGACACTAGGGCTGCCAGATGGGAAGAGTAAAAGTATCTGAGCAAAATTTAACAAAATCGAAATAACTCGAGTCAAAAATCGATACATTCAACCTTAGCCTCACAAAAATATATATGATTAACAAATAAAGCTAATAGAATTAATCAGATATTTCTAAGTTGTTTTAGCCGTTACTGAGCGATTTATCGATTTAATGATTTTATAAATTATTTAACATTTAACGGGATTTGCTCTTTATCGGAACATTGGACAATCCAGACCAATTCCAACCATCTGGCAACCTTACTTGAAACGCTAATCGGAAACTATTAGGATTAGGCAATCTACTAGTACGAATTAATATGTCACCTGAAACCCTATTCTGTTACTCTGCAAAAGAAATTTGGCATTCCTATTTTTAAAATGCTGATACGATTTTAAGGAAACGCATTTTTCTATAATTTATGATGCAACGGACGTCTGACTTGACACTGTCTCTGATGCACGGATTATCTTAAAGATTATATGACTTTAGCAAAATCATAAGATCGATTCGAAAATCTGAGACCTGAGGAGGTGTTATGTAAAGTCGTACGAGTATTTCGAGTTCAATTCGCACTCTATGTTTATTTTCGTGCCAAAAAACAGATAATAATTCTTTTTTCGCTTTTAGAATAGAGATCTATCCTACATGGTTAATTTGATTTGCATAAGGCACGTATAAGTTTTCAATCTAGTAATTAAATACAGTTTATATGGTTCATTTAACATTTTTTTGTTCATTACATCTATAAATCAGTAATAGAAGATAATTGTGATCTAAACTCAGTAGTATAAATTGGTTGATTACTTATAAAGAATACATTTTCTAAATTCCTTATTTTGTCTCTCTTTTTATCCTTTTTTTTCCGATTAGTATTTCAACGCCTGAACACACACGTCTTTGTGTTTAGCATGCATTGTTGTTGTGATTTATATTTAACCGTTTACTAATATGGTATGCATGTTCAAACTATATTTTCATACTCTTACCACTGTTGCACTTATTGTTTACTTTTTAATTGCTTCACGAAGATCGTGAGGAACATTAAATAAAGAACTGTTTTGCAATAATATATTTAATAATTATTATAGCAAAAAATATGACTTTATTGTCACTATTTTAACAACTGCGCTAAAAACAGTGTCATTGAAAAGTAGAGTTGCCAATCATCCTGTTCTTTAAGGATTTCTTGGACTTTTTAAGTAGCGTCATTGTCTTTTTAAAGCGTTCTGCCAAAATCCTGTTTCTTTTTTTTATTATTCACACGCCGCTTTGTCTCCAATCGGATTATAATCAAGTCCACATCTCGCGCCAGTCGTTCATTCTTAATGAAATAAAAGACAGTTACAATTACTGCTGCTGTTATGTGTTCTGATTTTGAAAAAGTATTTGTATTCTATATCCTTGATTTTATATTTGGATGGCACCTCTAGTATAAAATTAAAATAAGAAAAAAAATGAAAAACTTCCTGCAACTGTATTATAAGAAGCACTGTACCATAAATAAGTGCGATTGTTCTAAAATCAGATAACTACATCTTAAAGGTCACTAAAAAAAATTACGAATCACATTCTTAGTGACTTTGATCTTATTTAACCTGTTTGATGTGTTCAACATGTTTAATTTTCTGATTCTTGTGTTTTTTATTTAACTATATTGTCAACAATGCTGAAAATAATAAGATTTTAGTTCTGTTTATAGATTTTTTTGTAAAGGGGCTTTCAAACAGGCAAAAATTTTCGGCAATTAGTCGGGCAAACACATTTCTGTGATCACCTAACTTAACATAAGTCGCCGGTAGTGCAGCCTCTAATTGCCCAAAACTATTGCCCGTTTAGCTCTTTTCATAAAATGATTTCATCCTATTTTACAGTTTCTAATATTGATATCAAATTATATACCTCTACATTCCAACACTCCAAGTGCATTTTGGAAAACATTATTTGGTGTGGATTGAGAAAAGCCCGTTTTATTGATATTGATAAATCGAAGACAATTATATCGATCCGAAAACAATTACTCCAATTCCAACCTGTAAATTGTGCAAGCAACTGGGGGTGATAACACCTTCTTCTAGAAAGTGTAATTGTATCAACTTTCACGGCTAAAGTTTAAATTGCTACCTTCAAAAAGACCCTACCAAGTCCTTATAAATAAAACGAGCTTTCTCCCGCTCTCTCAGACATCTATCTTCGTATCCGAACGTCAATTTATTTCCGGGATTATGTCCTATGAATGTTATTCTGACCAAAGTGAAGCTGTGAAGTCTCAGGCTTAATATATGTTTCTTTGTATTAAAATATTTAAAGATCATGTCGCTTCAGAATATTATTGCAGTTAATTTAAAGCCGCTACTTTAAAAATAAACGTACTTTTTATACCATTAATCAGTGAGTGTGCAAAGTGATTCGTAATTGATATAAAAGTTAAGACTAGGTTAATATTTATCCTATTAGAATCCTTACGAATAGTTTTCTTTATTAATCACATTGCTATTATTATATGGTTTCCTTTATACTAATACATATCCGTTCGAACTGACAGTAAAGTTCTTACGTTTCCGTAGACTCCGCTAATAAAATAAAGCATTAAACGTTCGTTTGATGGCAAACGTTGAACTGATATTGCGATATTTCCAAGAATCAAAAAGCTATTTGAACCCAAATATATAATTGAAAACAAAAATGACTTTTATATTTCTAAGCTGCCATGTCACTGTAAAGCGCTTAGCAAAGCAAAACTAAGTTTACACCAGCCGTTATCTATCTATAGAAGTAGATGATCTACCTTCCTATAATAATATTTCATATTTCTCTTGCGGCAGATAAGATCTTGGCTATTAATATCTGTTTCGTTTATTTTGATCTACCGATTCCAATTGTTATACGGCGATTAAGACAAGATTTTTAGTTAGTCAAATAAAAACAGTGATTACGATCACGCACCATTCATCACAATGGCATCTAAATTGTAACGTTAGGTACTACGATGCTTTGTGCGAAAGGGTAAAAGCTGACGGTGAGCTGAGTCGAAATTTCTTGTTCAATGGAGAATAGCAGAAACAATAGAGTCGTGAGATTGTTTCACATCGCACCTACAGGCTACGACCATATTATCTCGGAGCGGTCGACCGAGCGGATATTGGCACTTTTATAAGCTAATGAGTATTTAAAAAAAATATATCTTAATTGTGATTTATCATCATGTTTGCTCTGTTTCCTTCATGCATTCCGATAAGGAAAAAAGAGCGTGCAAAGTGGTAATAAATCCGCAAATCGCTCAATCTCTACGACCACGACCCAACCGTGGTAATTGTCGGAATACAGCGGGTGTTACGGGCTGATGCACGCGGGCCCTCGACCACAACGTTTGCCGTAGACCCACCGCGAAACTCGCAGAAATGAGTGCCTTACAACGCGCCGCTCGCAACAATGCTACATGTACCGCGATTAATCGATAAGTGATGTGCCGCTTTCTCAATACCAGTGCAGTGTTAAATAAATCGCCAATAAACACCAGCCCGGCTACCTACACGCTATCGGTACTTATTAAAATGAGGTGCTTGAAAGCGGCAGGAGGATGGCTAGCCCGGGTGAGATGCGTATACGAGATAAAAAGAGACATTCAACGAAAGATTTCAATTTAGATCCGCCTGTATTTAGTTTTGGCTTGTCTTGCTTCAGTATTGTGGCTTGATCATACCATTTCACTTAAATGTTATAACACGGAATTCATGTCAACTTCCTTACTTGCACTTCGATGTAGATCGAGATACGTTATATTATATAGTGGACATTATACGCTGTTTGTTAAATTTAAATTGCACGACGCCGACTTCCTTTCGACGGTGTTTCGGTATTTTGAAAGTCATTTTGTTTGCAGGCAATTAAAAAAAGAGAGCAACAAGAAGAACAGAAGACTGATGACGATGAAACCGTGGAGGACGTTCCCGATGGTGAGTTCAAATCTGTTATTGTTTTATTCGATAATGTTGTTGTATTTTTATTACATTAGAAAGTGTTTAGCGGTGAATGAACGCAGCCATAACGCCAGGTGACATCCGTAGTGCACGTTCTGGCTATGAGATAGTTGCCTGTTGCGACATTATTTTACACGGTCGTGACCACACTCGTCTTGCGATCATGAAATGTGAATCCACCGATGCCCGTCTGTTGCTCTCGCGTCACCATACACAAAAGCACAATTGCATTTATATTTTTATGAGGCCATTGCTACGTTACTTTCGGGTATTGTTTTGTCTGGTAAGCTCGATGGAAACCGTTATTGTTTCGGACTGCTAAAACATGAGTGACTGACACTGTAATATATTTTAACAATTCTCGGAAATATGCAAAACGACTACAAAAAATATGACAACCTACATGCACGATTTAGTTTACTTAAATATAATGTTTTATTAAACATTAATCTTTTTTATTTTGACGTAATTGAGGTATTTGTTTAACTACAATGACCTCATAGTAGTTTGTTTTCTGTAGTGAATTTTCAGTATTTACCTAATTATTATTAAAGTGAGATTGAAGCTGAACCCGCTTACTCTTATTGTTGCGATAGCGCATTAACACATTTGCGAAGGTTTATGGATATTTTAATCCATAAATTTCAGTTTTCTCCCTGCATGTTAGAGTGTAAGAAAATTTCACTGTTTTATAAATAACCTTCGTTACGAACGTCAATTCACTTGAATTTCTCAGGAAGTGAGAAAAATCTCACAAACGTTCTTAACTAGACTTAGGGGCATATAAAATCCAATAAAGTATACCACTGGATTTAAAAATTGGTAGACAAAATTATAAAATAAAAAAAATATTAAAAATTGAATAGGTGCTTCCCGCATAGGCATATACCAGTGTCGTAGGAAGTGCAAATATTTGAAGCAATAGCCGCGTTCACGGCACACAATGTCCGCTTCATATAAAATTGGTATCGCACTTATCAGCTTATCTCTCCGTACACGGCGTGCCATTTCGCTTTGTGTAGCGAAGCCCCGCAGTGTTACACCCACCTGTGTCGAGTTCGCTTATGATTCTATCACCCTGTTTAGTGAAATTTAATAATCGAGCGTTCACGTCGCGTGACACACTACATACCACCGACAGTAGTACACAGAATTCATGATCTGTGACCAAGCAGAAATATCTACGTAGATACTGACTCATAACCGATATGAACGTATTTTATTAGTATGAAAACGTATTGCACGGACGCTGTCCATGTTCCGTGCACATTTTGGAGACGAAGAAAGAAAATTTCATTTGCTGCTCGTTGTGTTAGTGACGAAATTTAGTGATGTGTTTATTGAAGAGAATGATAACAATGTGGTTGATAAAAGATGTTTAAAAGAGCGCGCACTACTCTTTAAAGTATTTGTAAAGTACCTAATCGTTAAAGTAAATCATTAGTTTTGTAATTATTGATGCTTGTTACAAACGTCGCTCATGTAGAACAAACGATTGAAGGTCATCTTATTATTGTTATGGTGTTCTTAATAACGTAGTACATGCTTCAACGACTATTCAGTGGTAATAACTACTAATACGAAAATTAGGATCTGCTTCATTTGTTCTAGAGCTTTATTGTATGTTAGATACCCTGCACTTAAGCCTGTACTTTCTCGGTTCTCTAACCATAATATATAGCCTTTCGTATTTGTTTATCGCTTCAGATTGTACCCGTCGATATACTTTCCCACACTATAGTACCTTTGATGTTGATGAAATTACGTTATAAATACTATTTCCATTTACTCACACAACTAAAAGCCTATCTATCATTCCCTAAATAGATAATCGCTACTCATTCATTAAAAAAGCAATTACCTACTTTTTCACACTCCATTGGATCACATCTTGACGAAACGTTTTAAAGTTACTCTGTGATACGCGATAAAATTCATGTAGAGATACGCATCCATGCTATCATCAAATCATACCTTGGGCATATCGAATTGGAAATCTACTGTGAGGTAGTATTTTTATCTTGATATTCCTTTTCAATACTATCATACCATTTTTGTCATACTCTGTTTGTCGTTTATTAGTCTGAACTACTATGGTTACTTTTAATTTATTCTGAAACATAACTGAACTGTCTTGTTTGTGTTAATAAGTTTGCTTAAGACGTATAATACTTTTTGTGTAAAATTATTAGCATTTTACATATATTAGTTATTACCAATGGAATTAAGAGCATTTATAACAGAAACTTTATATGTGTATTGTCTCGTTCAGCTACGAATATCCTTGGCCTAGTTGTCCTCAAAAACCCCGTCCTAAAGGCGTGTAAGGAATAAGAATTCGACGTAAACAATCGCGGATAAAATATACAATGTTATGACTAAGGCCGAACGACGCATTCAACTTTGGTCCTTAGAGAGTTCGTTCCTTATTTGTAAATGATAATGTTATTGAACTGTCCTCATTATCTTATCTTTGTTAATAATAATGATCCCACTGTGCCTGATGGTTATTTCTCAGTCGATGGAAGTACAGTGTATGTGACTATTGTTTAGTTCTGGATGTAAATTGTCGTTTATTTAGCGTTTGGTTCGAATTTTCCAGTTTTGTGTATTTTCTCTGCGTTTATACAACTTGGACCAATTATTTTGAGAATCAAAATTACTCAAACCTGGTAAATCGCGTGCTAAGGAGCTATTTGTTTAGTGACTTCGCCGATTATATCGTCTTGATTCTACCGTTTTGATTTTCTTCAATGTCAGCTTAACGTTAGTTCTAATCTTTACCCTATTTCATGAACTGTGATGTTATTTTGGATATTGACGTTCATTGTAATTGTAGAACTACTAAGTTTTTTGTATGCAAAACGCTTTATGAAACTTTCTTAATTTATAATCAACTATATATTTTAGTATCTTTACTTTTTTCTTCTTTTTCGTGTATGTTGTCTTCCTACAGTGATTGACACTGCCTTTGTCTAAGTCGTGTCGATGCTTTGACGAAGCTATTTGTACCTCAATTAACTCTTACGGCGTCTTGTTCCCAAGCTTGTGGTCATTTACTTATGCATCATCGTCCATTACTCAAACTATATGAAGAGCGTTGTAACGATCACTTTCTTTCGTGATACATTACTTTGTTGAATAATAGGTGTTATAAGTTGTAATTAATTTGTGATTATGTTCGTAGAGTTTCTAATTTACTTTTTAAATGTCAAAGTGTAATATTCTTAGTGTCTGCGGGTAATAGTTGCAATAGTAATACTGCATTAGAAATATTTGGTACGTGGTCGTGTGATTTGAAACAGTGAATAGTTTTACAGACAAAGTTAATCATGAAAGATAAAAGACTGCAATTGAAGTTAAGTGTTCGCGGAGATGGTCCATTAGTTCGAGATAGCACCAGGAGTAGTATCAGAAGTAATAGAAGTGTTGGAAGTAACTCTAGCGTAAACAGCTCAGGTTTGCCAGTAAGCGAAATATTTACTTCTGATCGATTTACTTCAATACCTCATAATACACCTTTCGATGTTAATACTAAATATCGGAGGAGGCCCATTCAGTATGGATATCCGGCACAGAGTTTGCCAGCATTAGATAATTACGAGCAAGCGCATTACAATCATCCTAGAGATCACGAAAGGAGCAACGTATATATTGATTATGGTGAATCTTCGAGATACGTGCTACGTCAACATTACGTACCAGTAATTTTGGAAGAGCCTCAGTATAGACCTATTTATCAAGAATCCCCGGGATATATGTACGCAACTTTACCACGTGCCCCTGCAAATTACGAACAATATAGAAATCCATCTGGTCCTGGCCACAACACTCTACCTTTAAGATCAAGCTTGAGACGCGTACGCATCAGTAACGAGCGACCTCTCGTACACGGATACGGTATGTTATTATAATATAATGTTGATATTTTCAAGATTTGTTTTATACGCTTCAAACAAGATAGTTTAGAGTCAAGTTAGTATTCAGAAGTTTTATCACAAGTCATTTAGGGTTCGTTTTAATAGGAAGGAGAAATCCATCTTGTAGAAAGTTACTTTGAATAGAAATCGATCTAGCCGTTAGGCACATCACTTCGTAGGTACCTCTTGTTCGATAAAATAAGGTTTACTGCTTATATGCACTTAATCCTTCCAAGAATAAGGCCATTGATTTTATAAAATTTACATAATATCGTCAAATAATTTGGAACAAGAATGTTTGTCACAGCACAATAATAAATTATTATGTTTTGTTACTTACCTTTTCAAAATATCATAACACTTTCATCCAATATTCGAGTTTAATTTGGAAATGCTCCCAAGCAAACTTTTTTTCCAGAAAATAAAAATAAATGAACAATTGAAATGTTTTACTTTGTATTAAGATAGTTTATTTCATTGAATAGTTCATTGAATAACAGCACTGTAGATATTATTTTATGAAATTCCAATGTCTTAATATGTAATATCGCTATCGCTGACCCGTGATAGACTTTATATCGTTTGTCTGCACAAACACGTATAATGTTAATGCGTGTGTGCGTAATTAGGCCGAGACATCATCCCTTAGGGAGGGACAACAATAGCTGATGCATGCACTGTCCCCGCGTTAACTGGTGCGCTCTAATGAACCCAGTCAATCTCACCTCGTCCATGGTCAGTTATTCGCGGGATTCTATCACATGATACACATTTACTTTGTTTAAAGAGGTCTTTTAAAATCTGCTGAAATGGCAATCACAAAATCAGCGGTGCGCGGTGTTATGTGCGCTATGATGGAGTTCACCTTCAAAGCAAGTAAGATTTTAGGAGAACGTTATTCGATACAGTAACTGTAAATATCTAAATGAAATAAATAATACCTATCGGAATATTATTTCACAAATAATTATTTCTAATATTAGTATTAAGTAAACTTAAGCACACTTTCTTTGTTAGTTATGTGCAAACATTTTTTGGTCTTCTGTTTTTTTCCAA